TTTACTTTTATACACTTTACACTAGTATTCCCCATTCCGAACTAAAAGAAAAATTGAAAGAGTTGGTTCTGCTTTGTTTCATAAAAAAGAATGGCGAACGTAAATACAAATATTTTGTAGTAAGGAGGGATAAATCGTACTTTGTAAAAAAATCACTCCGATTCAAACATAAAAGTCTCTGAAACTGACATTATCAAATTGTTAAATGCATCTATCCCATCGACATTGAAATAAAGGATACAACAGATACAGGTAAATCTGCCTCATTTCTTGATATACATCTAGAAATTGACAGTGAGGGTGAGCTGAGAACAAAACGTTCAGACAAAAAAATATTATTTCAGTTTTCGATTTCTATGTAGCAACATTCCAGATGCGCCTGCATATAGAGTATATCTCTCCCAGTTGATAGATGTACGATATTTCTGGGCTTGTATTACCTATTATGATCTCTTTGATAAAGGATTGCTGCTAACAAGGAAGATGTTAAACCAAGAGTTCCAAGTAGTGAATTTGGGATCATTCCGTCGAACATTTTACGGACGCCATCACAAGTTGGTTGATCGTCAAGGAAGATCTGTTTCACAGATGACGACGGATATGTTCCAACCGTCGTAACCACAAACCCGTACTCCTTTTCCCTGGATGTGACCTACCGGTAGGCTCTCCTAGGTAACCCATGTACGTAATACAATTTAGTTTAATCTGTATACTGTAATTCATGATGTTTGCTTCTGATTTGCTTTCGTATAACTTTCGTATGTCTGTACATATACATTATGTAATATTAATTGTGTGCATCTCTATACCAATGTTATTTGGTTTGTTGAAAAATAAAGATATTTATAACGGTTATCAAAGGATTTGCACTGCCACGACAAATGAACTAACAGGCCGACAGAGAAATTCTTATATATCAATCAAACCGTATGGACAGTCATGTTATTTCTAATCAAATTAAGTACAAAATTTAATATTAGCAAGATTCAATAGCAAAAAAGCAACAAGAATTTGTTAATTTTATAAATTTTATAAATTTTAAAATTATTATTGTAAATGCATCATCAAACAAAATATCTTGCTATATGCAGTAAAGCAGAAATAACCAATTAATTTTTTTAAACGATAACTGATCTATTTCGTTTGTGCACTTATTAAGAATGTCGAGTATTTCTTGAATTGAAAAAGTCAATTATCGTTAGTTTGTTTGATAATGATCATGTAAGTAATTGGAAACTCCTTATATTTATATTACGTATTTTCAGAATTAAATTCATGTTTAATAATCAAACTCATTCTCAATAATGTTTTGAAAAATGCATATTTTCTTGTGCCTCAACAAATTTTGATATATCGACTGTCAATGCAAATTGCTTGAAAAACACTTTACAAAGGCTACCTGAAGTAAAGATAGTTATGAGTCGGGAACACCTACTCTACCTGCGGAAAAATACCCCCTTTTTATAAAGTGTTAAATGTTGCATTCCGTGGTTTAAAAAATCTTAAATCCTTTCAGCTATGCAATGGTTCGAATATCAGGAACATTGCATTTGAATATGTCGTAAGTAAGCTCTTGTTACTAGTTTTAACTTCAATTGGCCTTACAATGCAGAGTCAACACAGATCTTCAATACACGTTTTTTTTTCACTTCTTGTTTCTACTTTCTCATTGTTACATGTACATTGGTTTTTTTTAAATTAGCTTTTATAAAATTTCGAAATCAGTTTAAATTAAGGAATTCGATTATCTCTCCCGTGTATAGCTCTGATCCTTGTCCGGGTTTGACATTACTATTGATCCTTTATTTGTTTTTTCAGCTCTTCAACGTGTGTAAACAGATTTTGACTTTCATACATTTTGGCCTCGGGCATCACTGATGATACCTCTGACTGTAACATTTATATAGGTGTCGATTTCAGTCGTTTTTCCGCATAACTATGTTTTTGTAATATCTATACATTATTGACTGTTGTCCCGCAGTTTTTGACATTTGTACCTTTTATGTTTGTTTTGCTCACACATTGTTGCCAATATAATTGAATTCTATGCGGCAGTCATACAAGTGAGAGGTTTGGCTAGCTATACATCCAGGTTTTATCAACCATTTTCTACATAAGGAAATGCCTGTACCAATTCAGGAATATGACAGTTGTTTTCCATTTGTTTGATGTGTTTGAGCTTTTGATTTCGCCATTTGATAAAGGACTTTCTGTTTTGAATTTTCCTTGGAGTGCGGTAGTTTACTTTTTACTCTAAGCCCGATTTTAAACGGGTATATCACAAGATAACAGTCTGCTGAAAGACATATCGACCTAACTTGAAACATTCTGACTCCGAATCGACCATTTCTGCTCTTACTCCTTAATTGTGCGTGTTAAGCGGAGGAGTAGAACTGAATAATTACAACTCTTTCAATATTTTAACCTCGTTGGTCGAACACACATCCTCTCGCACTTGGTAAACAGGCTATTACAAGACCAACTGGGCGATACATAAACATTCAAAAGTTCACTGTTTATTATAAGGGTGTAAACTGTGCTTATTCTCAGGCCTAAATATAAATAAAAACTTTGCCAAATTGAATTACTTTCCCAAACGAAACTTACACAATCAAATAGAAGGTCCTTTATTTGTTTTTGCAGCTCTTCAACGTGTGTATACAGCCGTTTTTCCGCATAACTATGTTTTTGTAGTTCCTATGTAAAGAACACACCCACGGAAGTGTAGACCGTCTAGTGTGAACATGTACGAGAGTAACGTATCAATTGAGATATGTGAACGATGTTCATTTGGGCAAATAGTAGTTTACGACTTAGAGATGATGGGAAGTTAACAATTGGAATATTGAAAACACGTTTGTTATAGATTTTAATTTGAAGTCGCCCATCGGTGTCAATATCGAGGAAAAGATCAAGATATGAAGCAAACATTCTAGTTTCGGTAGTATCAATAATTCTTTATGAGATGCAAGCACAATCACTGAAAAGTGGGTATTGTGACAGGAGATCATCTCTATATCTAAATGTGAAATAAATAAATTTGCAAATGGTTTTTTTCTGATTGTTTTTGGGAAAGTTTTGTATGAATTTTGAATTAGAGTACAATAGAGTCCGTAAGGGTGCACAATGTATACCGACTGTATACCAAATAGTTGTCTATCAAAAGGTAAAGCATTTTAATGATATCATCCTCGATGTATTTGTTTTTGGAATCAACGTGGCTCTTTATAAAGTAGACCCGTTTGATTCAGATTAACTGTCTAAGTATCTTGATTATGGACCTCGGTGGCTGAGCGATCTGTCTTGTTACTATCCCCGTTATACCTGTTTTCCTCATAACATGGAAGAAATGAATAACTCTTCGCGCAAAATATTGTGAAAGTTCTCTATGTGCCTGAATGATATTTAACCATAATCATTACAACCCCATCATTAAAATTTGCATCTATATGTGAATAGTATATATTTTGAACTAATCACAACTGACCAATCAGATTTGCTAATTCTGTGATTTTTAAATTTATGTTTGTTTTACATGAACAAAACGGAGGAAAGTTGTGACACACACACACACACATATATATATATTTATATGTTACAGTAAATGTGTATAATTAGAGATTATGTAGATTCCCTAAAAAGTTTTCCAAGGATTATGTATAATCACTGGTCACTTGCGTGATTATATATAATCACTAATATTTTCAGGAATTGTGCATAATCACTAGAAAAAATGTCAGGGATTAAACACAATCACTGGAATGAAAATACAACGATTAAAAGTTAAATAATTCATTCTATAAAATCATATTAAAACATCTTTAGAAGCATAAATATTAAAATGTTTAGCAAAATACTCTGATATAAATTATTTACTTTTCCAAACTGCGTTGTAAATTTGAATGACATCTATTATTGCAGGATAAACATTCAACCATTCCCATGATCTGCTTTTCGATGTTTTTTTTCGCAACAACATCCACTTTAAAAAAAAACTTATCCTTCATGTATTGAATCTGATATTACCGCACGTTAAAGAGAAAAAAAAATCATTAGAAACATCTGAAGATGCCACTAAAAAAAATCCGCCACCTGTAATTGATTTCTTGTGTAGGAGTCGAGCAAAATTGTATGTTTCGTAGCCAGGCAATATCTTATTTAGTCCGTTCATGAGCAATGCTCATTATATTTTTTTGGGTCTTCCTTTCCACAATCAATATGCGGAATCGGTATGAAACGTTTACTATGTTATTGTTTGCCTCCTCCAAATTTAAAGTTTGAATTCCTTGTTCATTCGGACATAGAAAACATAAAACAGACGTTTAATAGCCTTCATCGTCATTTGTTTTACAACAAGTTACATGCGCTGTGCATTTACATTCAGAGCACAAATGTGCATTTGACGCTGTTTGGGCGCACAATGCATTCATTGCTTTCATGTGAAGTTATCGCTATTATTGAGAATGTTATTATTAATTTAAATTTTAGATACGTGTATGTTTATTAGTTAATGTAGTTCAACACACTTAAATATCATATAATTGGGAAAAAAACTGTTCCCTTTAAATTTGACTAATGAACAGGAAATAAAAATCGTCTACTTTAACTTTAAAAGGGTAAGAAATAATTAAAAAAATATTTATTTGTCTATATTTTATCTACTTTTATTAAACACAGGATTTCTTTGTATCTTTGAATTATTGATAATCCCTGAAATAATATCAAGGAATTTGTAAACTTTTTTTAAAAATTGTCAGTGATTATGTAAAAAGTTAGCTCACTAATGATTTTAGTGATTATGCAAAATCTCTAACTATACAAATCCACTGTAACATATATATGTATAAATACTGCACAATGTTTCCGTAACCGGTATAATTGTGTACTTTATTTGTACTTAATGATGCTTTTTATTACATTCATATATGCATTACATTGAATCCGGAATGAGGAAATAATTATTATTTTTTTTAATTAAATCAGTTTGCTAGTACCATAACGATTACTTCAAATTTTAAGTGTTTGGAAATACAGATTGAAAAACAAAAAACATTAATATATTCAGCATGATTAAATCGGATAAACAATGTTTTACTTGGCTTGAACTGAATAACTCAACAACACTGCATGATTTGAACAACCAGTTCACAGAACGGCATATAGGTGGAATATTTTTTACTTCAGTCTTAATGGTGCTTGGGATATTTGGAAATTTTGCTGTTCTAATTATATATACTCAAAGATTCAAGGTATCAAATTACAGGACATACACTATATGGCTGGCCATCATGGACATTGCAAACGCTTGTATCGGAATGCCTTTCCTTGTTTACTACATGAGCCATTACTTAACCTTTCCATCTGATGGATTGTGCAAATTCGGCCGATTCACGATGGTCTTTACAACAAACTCCTCAGCCTACATTTTGGTGGTAATTGCTTTTGATCGATACAGAAAAGTCTGTAAGCCTTTAAAAAGACAACTTACTTCTACAAATACAAACGTATGTTGTGTATCTGCCACTATTTTAGGACTTATGACGTCTTGGCCGTGCTTGGTCTTATATGGGATTAACACTGCTGATATGGCGATTCCTTGGGTTAAAGAGATTCGGTGTTGGACAGATGACAACTACATAGATACTGATTATCCTAAAATTTACTACATTGTTCTTTATATCTTCAATTTTCTAGTTTTCCCTATCTTGTTCGTCGTATACGTACAGATCTTACGTTTTTTACATATTCACGGAAAAAGCGGAGTTCGGGTGAAAACTAAAAAAACTACAATAACCCTTTTAGCTGTTTCTGCTGCTTTCTTGTTGAGTGCTATTCCACATTACAGCTTGGTTGTGATAACTCGATTTCAAGAAGACTTCAACTGTGAAATGACTTTTGCCGAAGGATTTGTCTACTACACATTTGTGTTCTCTATTTTGCTGAACAATTCCGTAAATCCTTTCATATACGGCTTATTGGATACAAAATTTAAGCGTGAAATACGAAGTATTTTCCAAATATGCCGAAAAGATAAAAGAGATGCAACAAGCCGTATAGCAACTGAGTCAATGGAATTAGATTTAAAGGATCCTATGCAGATTTGCGTCAATGAACATGCGCAGTCTTCAGAAACAAACCTCAATGATTAATCACTATATGACGATTTCCAAATTTGGCGAAGCAAAAATATGCTTATACTTATAAATGAAATTAGAGAATAAGTGAGCTTTATTTCTTAAACTTTAAAAGATTTCTTAAACTGATGTTAAAAGATATCCATGATACTAATACTTAGTAAATATATTTGTATAACTTGTGTTGTTTTTTTTCACAATGCCTTTGAAACAATGTCAAAAATTATTCTGTCGGCCAAAAGCCATAGAAAAAATCTTAAACGCACAAAGAATTAGGAAATAACAATGATACAAACAAAACAAGATTTTATTTTAATTATAAAAGACAATTTCATACAGATACTTCGATCTCAGACCATATTATCGATCACAGACCATATTATCGATCACAGACCCATATATATCTGGATTTATTTTAGCCTTACCAAGCTAAACAAGAGTTGTGTCACTTGATCTGTCAAACAACGTCAAACTACGAGTATCTGTAAATATTTCTCTGGTGCGGCTGACTTTGAGGCAACGAAGGTCAACTGTACTGAAAAATTGAGTTGCAAAGATTGAAAGCTATGTATAAAATTCCCATTTAATGATAGTAATAATAAAGTCAACCTTGCTCCGTTTTCAAGGACTTCTAACAAACAACACTCAAAGCATTCAAATCATACAGAAAAAAACTAGTCGTGCCAGAAGAGTACCTCGGATCAATCGTCAAAGTGTTGCAGGTAAATTGCACATCAGGAAGATCTTGAATACTAGCAAATTTTAATAAGGTATCGGAACAATGAATGGACTTTTTAAACTACAACCAAGCACATACTTGAAATAAAGCTATGCTTTGTTTTGTTTTAAATACACATCAATTCAATTCATGTTGGTTACACATTTTTCTCGATGCGAAATTTTACAAAAACATGTAAACTCTTCGATAATTTTTCAAAACTGTCTTTGACATCAATTTATAATGTTAAATTATATATTATTTTTATATGTGTAAAATATTGTACAATATCTCATGTGATTTATTATGTCTCTTTAATGAATGTTCAAATTTCAGTAGTCGTTAATAATTTTCAAATGTTTACCTTGTAAGTGAAATAAATTCAGGATAGAGTATCCTTTCTCTTTGTAAAGTAAGGCGATTAACGTTCGTTCTTTATGCTAAAAAAAACCTGCACTATAAATACAGGTTTACAGTTATTATTTCGAAATAATCACATATACATTTCATTCAAATATATTTATTTACCAAAGCTCATTCCCAGAATAACAATTGTAGAAAATAATTAAATACATGCGACATGTCTTAAAACAGATAATTTGTAAATAATTTAACGCTCGATACGACTTAAATTAGCAGTTGTCAAACCCCGTTACATTGTGTATGTGACTATCCTAAGTCAGGAGCTTGTAATTGATTGGTTGTCGTTTGTTGCAATATAACATATTTGATTTGCGTTTATTGTTTTATACATAAATCAAACCGGTTTGTTTTCTCGTTTGAATTCTTTTACATTTCAGGGCCTATTATAATAGCTTGCTCTATAGGACTGTTTTTCCTCGTTGTTGAAGGCCGTATGATGACATATAGTAACTAACTTCTTCGTCAGTTGGTCACTGGCGGAAAGTTGTCTCATTGGAAATCATACCACGTCATCTTGTTTTTATAGTGTAACAAAAATAAAAAAAATAAAAATAAAACATATGTGAAAGATTGATTTTATTTGGCTCAAAGTGATGAAACGCGTTTCTGACTATTATAATGATAAGTAAAATATCAACCAATACAAGTATATATACAACAAAATATACTTAACTAAGTCATGTGTGCACATCATTTCACATTTAATACGAATCCATAACGTATTATGGACAAAATTATTTCATTCGATGTACTGTTGATCGAAAACTTTGGTTACCTAGATAAACAATCAACATAGAATCACAGAGCACGTGTAAAATAAGTGAGATGATAGAAAAATGTTTAATTGTTGTTTTTTTAATATATTTTTATGCGTTCTTATTTGATAATTAGATTTTGTCATATCAGTTGTTATATGATTGGTAGCATTTTTTTTCAAAATCAATTGATACCATGTTCCGTCTACGTTTGTTTCCTTTTTATTTATCACAATTTTCCATTTGAAATTGTGCTGTACGATTTCCAAGAGAAGTGTCTTGGTTAAGGTCACTGCAATAATTCAAAACTAAAGATGCATGTACGCAGAAGATAATCACATCCAACATGAAAAAAAGCGAAACACGATTCTGAATAAATATGAAATACCAAGCAAATTTTGAAACATTCACATGACCCCAAATTGTCAGGAATTCTGTGTTGATAAATCTAGTTCATATGATAGCTTATAGTTGACATGAGACTATTACCAATCTACTAGCTACTACAGTAACTGTATAAATCCTTAATTAGTGGTTATTACGCATTAAAGCGGATTGTATATTAGCTAAAGTAAAGGAATTGGTGTCAACTAATGAAGCAGGACATACTGACCTTTCTGAAACATTTTGCTTAAACCTCGAAATTTGTCGGGATAATTTTTGCTGCATAATCTAGTTTTCTCTGTCATTTTGGGAACTTGTTTTTTATTTTTGTTTTGACTATAGTGATTTCTGTCCTTGTTTGACTGATGATTTATTTTGGGTTTTTTTTGTATCTTTTATGTTTGTTTTTTTCATTTGAACAAATTATTCTTACCACAAAACATCAACTTTAGAAATAAGAATATTTTTATGAAAATAATCATACATCTTTTCATAGTTTCCTTATGATAACTAGATTAGAAGTTATAGAACATCTCGTGGCCACATGTCCGAATGTATTGAACTAGGATCCATTTCTGTGATGGAAAACATTCTAAATGGTTTGAATTTCCAGTTAGCCATTAAGGTTTTTATTATTTCTGATGACTGCCTCTTTCCATGCCACGACCACTCCATGATTAAACCTTGCACTTCTAGTCGTTTGAAAAATTCTTTAGCACCCAGAAGTACCCTATGTTCGTGACCCTCAACATCAATTTTTATAAATACTTTTTGAAATTTATGAATCTGTGGAATGAGCAATAGATCATCTAATGTTGCAGAATTTTCTTCCACTAGTTTTAAGACTGAAATATGTGTTGTATTGATTTTTCATTTGTTTCCACATTCTATCCGAATCGACATGTATTGAACCAAAACCAGACTTTCTAGCACTGTATCGGAACTTTTGTTTTCCATTCGAGTCGGACAAAATGTGTTGAATTAATGTTATTCGCGAACCAATATTTAGATAATGGGCAGACGCACATACGTGTTCGATATTTGATTTTGCAGCGTCAGTGTCGATTAAGTCCCTTCTTATTAATGTTGCTGCTATACAATGTTGTCCAATATTTTTTCCAATATCACTTAAATTCATATTTGGATCTTGTTGCAGCTGATACAATATTCTGTTTATTGTCTTCACTTCAAACGCACCTTCTCAACTGATTATAGACGATATTCCGTCGCGTAAAGAGTGTGTAAATATTTTCACGCTCTCAGCATTTGATGTTTATCTAATCAAAGGGAAATCACCGTCATAAAAAACGTTTTGTATGGTTTACAAAGATTAGATATTTCCATTTATTGTCAAAAAAAGTTAAATTATCTGGAATAATACTTCCGAATGGGTCTGGTTTTCTATGTAATTCTGTAGGTGTTGTTTTCATTGACAATTCATCTGGAATAATATTTCTCAGTGAGTCTGGTTTTCTATGTAATTCTGTAGGTGTTGTTTTCATTGAGAATTCATCTGGAATAATATTTCTCAGTGAGTCTGGTTTTCTATGTAATTCTGAAGATGTTGTTTTCACTGACAATGTATCTGGAATAATATTTCTCAGAGAGTCTTGTTTTCTATGTAATTCTGTAGGTGTAGTTTTCATTGACAATTCATCTGGAATAATATTTCTCAGTGAGTCTGGTTTTCTATGTAATTCTGTAGGTGTTGTTTTCATTGAGAATTCATCTGGAATAATATTTCTCAGTGAGTCTGGTTTTCTATGTAATTCTGAAGATGTTGTTTTCACTGACAATGTATCTGGAATAATATTTCTCAGAGAGTCTTGTTTTCTATGTAATTCTGTAGGTGTAGTTTTCATTGACAATTCATCTGGAAAAATATTTCTCAGTGAGTCTGGTTTTTTTTATGTTATTCAGTAGGTGTTGTTTTCATTGACAATTTATCCGAAATAATATTTCTCAGTCAGTCTGGTTTTCTATGTAATTCTGTAGATGTTGTTTTCACTGACAATTTATCTGGAATAATATTTCTCAGTGAGTCTAGTTTTCTATGTAATTCTGTAGATGTTGTTTTCACTGACAATTCATCTGGAATAATATTTCTCAGTTAGTCTGGTTTTCTATGTAATTCTGTAGGTGTAGTTTTCATTGACAATTCATCCCAATTAATATTTCTCAGTGAGTCTGGTTGTTTATGTAATTCTGTAGATGTTGTTTTCACTGACAATTTATCTGGAATTATATTTCTCAGTGAGTCTGGTTTTCTATGTAATTCTGTAGGTGTTGTTTCATTGGTAATTCATCTGGAATAATATTTATCCGTGAGTCTGGTTTTCTATGTAATTCTATAGATGTTGTTCTCATTGACATATCATTTAATTTGTTCTGATGTGAACCTTCATAGTGCAATATTTGATATATTGGCCAGAATAGTAAACTACATGTACACATTATTAAACTCGTACAAATCCCTTTCAGTTTTTGTTTGTTGCACCTTCTCTGAATTGAATGAATAGAAACATATAAGCATTATTTAGCCAAACATTTTCATAATGTAACCTAATATCGATTCTTAGAATTAAATTTGATATTATGCATGACAACTGCAATCATATGGTTAATTCAAGGCAAATATATTGATGGGAAAATGAGCGGTATTCATAAAAGTGATTGCCACCCATCGAAATAAATACTAAAATAGATACAGTCTTTAGACATTGTTGTTTACTTCCTCGTCCTTTTGTTTCTGGTGGATATTTGTCTAATTGGCAATGATTTTACTTCCACTTAGTTTTATATTCTACAGTAGTCAGGTGTTTATGTAAAAAAACTGAGGTCTAAATAGCTGTGAATAAATTAAACGTAAACACATGTA